TCTTCCCAGTAGCCTATTGGCATTTAGTCAGCAGAAGCTGACACACAAGCCGTCTGCTCCCGTCCTCGGGCTCAGCGCTGCCCGGGGCCGGCAGCACAAGGGGCAGAGCCTGCACGGTGCAACGCGGCAGCAAGCCCAGCTCTGGGACCACATCGTGTCAGAGCCAGGTGCCCCGGCAGAGCGCAGGCAGCACCGGACAGCAGCCCCCCAGCGCAGCCTCGGGAAGGCCTGGTCCTCGAGGACATGCCGCCTCGTCTTTGTTTTCCTACAGAAGGCCCAAGAGCCCTTCCATGTGCCAGGTCACAAAGGCCCCTACACTGTCTCACTTGCAAAACTCTCTGGATGAGCGCAGCCAACACCGACGTCTGCAGAAACCTCCCAGCCCTGCCCCAGTCATGCCAACGCGGTGGTTTGCATCTCCCTCCTCAGAAACACGAGCCCCAGACGGTGCATTGGCACGGGACATGCCAGAAAGATTTACTGCCTGCCCCCGGAGACAGCGGCAAGGAGGTGCTGCACTGCAGTGTGGGCAGGAGGGCTTCAACAATGGGGATGGACAGTGCCATCACAAACACTGTGTGCCCCGCTGCTGAGCCCCTCCCAAGGGGGGGGCAGCCACAGCACTGCCCGAAGGCGCAGTGGCCACTTCTCCCCCCAGCCACTCTCCAGGGACCACTCATAGGGCAGATTTCCACCCCAGAACCTCTGAGCTGGACAAGAACCACTCTCGCCCTGGCTCTGGGTCACCTCCCAGCCAAGGAGAGCACCTGCTTGGCAAGGGAACACCCCGATAACACCCCCCCCCTCCACCCCCAGCCACCTGAGAGGTGCCCGTGGCCGTCAGTGCCCCGAACAGCCTGCTTCTGCACCACGGCCCAGAGTGTCCCAGCCCAGCATGAGAGCACACAGCGTTACCTCCTTCTTCCTCCTCTTGATTTTGGCAGCCTTGCTGTCTTTCAGCTTCTTTGATTTCTTCTTCTTCTGCACAGCAACTTGCTCCTCTGCGAAAAACTCCTCCAGTCCTTCCAGCACCCCATCATCTTCTTCTGGGGACAAAAGGGACAGCTCACGCGGACCAACCGCACAGGCATGCAGGGCACCATGCACGTGTTCACCCGGGCGGCAGCATCAGGCCCTGAGACACGGAGCTGGGGGGCCTCTCCCGCAGCCCCTCGCACCCACAGGTGCCCCTCGTGGGAGCCCAGGCAGAGTCCTGCCCGACCTGGCCCCCCCACATCCCGCTCCCCGCCACCGCTCGCACCAGCCTTGGGCCAAGCTGAGGCGCGGGGAGGCCCCCGCACGCCTCCGGCTCTTGCTGAGCTGGGCCCGCGGGTACGAGCGCTCAGCTTTTACCTTTCAGATCTCCAAGTATAGCCCACGAAAACGGGCTCAACGGAAGATGAATGAGGAAGACCTTGCATGGAAGGTACCGGCCGCAGCTCCACGTTCAGAGCATGACAGGCACGGGGCTGTGTTCACAGTGCAGGGTCGCCGGCCATGGGCACAGGCACCCACAGGCTCTCGCCTTCCCACCCCCGCTCCCTCCCCACACACAGCGCTCCCCAGCGAGTCCCAGCATCCTGGCCAGCCTTTGCATTTCTTTAAGGCCTACATCAGTAGGGGTTTTTTTTTTATTATCATTTCATTGTTTATACAGTAATAGCGCTCCAGAGTGGTTGGGACGTTTCTGCTGTTGGGTTTCAGGCGGTGCCGGTGCGGGCTCGGGCAGTGCAGGGCCGGGCCCGGCGCGCCCCCTCCCCACACACCGCCCCGGTACCGGCCCCGCTCCCAGCGCTTTGGGGCGGGAACACCGCGCAAGGACCGCAGCCCGGAGGGTCCGGCCCGGGAACGAGCTCGGCCCCCGGGGAGCCGCCCCCCGCCCTCCCCCCGAACCGGGGCCGCCCCTCCGTGAGGCGCCGGGATACCGGGGCTGAGCCGGGGCAGCGGCGAGCCGCGCCCCCCCATTTTCCCCCCCCCCACCCTCCCCGCCTACCCGAGACGTCCTCCTCGTTGTCCGCGCCGCCCAGCAGCTCCCGGCCGGCCGCCGGTCCCCGCATCCCGGCAGGGGCCGGGGCCGAGCGCCGGGCGCGCCCGCTCCGCGCCGAGATGGCGGCCGCCCCGCCACGCCCCCTCCCCGCCGTGACGCGCTCTCGGCCACGCCCCCCGGTGACGCACCCCCGGCCACGCCCCGCCCCCAGCCCTCTCCCCTCCCCTGGCGCTCCCCGGAAAAAAAAAAAAAAAGAAGAAGAAAAAAAAAAAAACAACAAAAAAAAAACCAAATCCCCCCCCGAATGAGCCCCCCGGGGGCCCGCCAGCCGCCAGCGGAGCGCGGGGTATCAACAACTCTCCCCGCCGTTTATTCCAGGAAAGCAAAACTGTACAAAATGGCTGCCGGGCGGCGGGCCGGCTCAATCCTCCTCCTCCTCCTCCTCCTCATCCTGGTTGATCTGGAAGTAGCGCAGCTCGTAGCTCTCCTTGCTGTTGGCCACCACACGCAGCCAGTCGCGCAGGTTGTTCTTCTTCAGGTACTTCTTGGTCAAGTACTTCAGGTACCTGCGGGGGAGAAGTGGGGTGTGAAAGCGGTTCTGTACCCCCAGATCCGCAGCGTTTCTCCAGCGGCACCAAGGAGCCTTTTCAGGGCACTCTGACCCCCGGGCAAGCTCCATACACAGTGCTTTTGGCAAACAAAAACCCCCGTTCCCATGGGCTTCTACCTGCACAGGAGCAATGCGTCCCACCTGACATGTCCCAGCAAAGCTTCTACCAGGAAACACCATCGCCAAGGGATTCACACCGCCAACGCCGCGACACGGAGCCACGGAAATTATTTCCCTCCCCTCTTCCCACCACTTCAGACCTCCAGCTGCCTCACACGAACCACGTTTATGGAAGCCAGAGAGAGGACAGGCAACCATGGGAAGCAGGAACCCAGTAGGACGAGGTTAACAATACAGGAGCAAAGCAGCTTGGCGGCATACCAAACCCCGGAACTCTGCACATGGCATCCCTCTGGCCACCCACCCCAGCAGCAGGAAGTGGCCACACGTCCCCCTCTCACACCACTCACAAACAGAACCACCGCAGCGAGTGCCACACAGCACTGAACCCCGCATCGGCACGGCTCCAGCACCAAAACATCCCCTTGGCACCAGACCCTCCCGCCGGCGGGATGCGGGGCCGCCCTCCCGCCTCACCTCTTGGAGAACGGCACCTCCGACGTGACCGTGATCTTGCTCTTGCTCCTCTCTATGGTCACCACGCCCCCGCCCAGGTTACCCGCTTTGCCATTCACCTTGATCCTTTCCTGCAGGAACTGCTCCTGCAAGAGAGGAATTGCCATCGCTTAGCCAGGGCTGCCAGCTCCCGCTGGACGAGGCCTCCCCAGTTCGCTCACACCTGGCGCTTCAGCTTTCTGTTTGGAGCTGGGGAGGTGAGAGAAGCACCATTATGCCCTGGGAAAGCAGAGGGGAGCCACCTTCCTGCAGGCTGGGAGGCTGCGAGCCCGCCAGCACCTGCCACAACTAATACAACCGGCCCACTCAGAGCGGCACGTGAGTCCGAAGGCACTGGACCAACGAGGCAGGGATGCGCTTCCTGCCGCCCGAGGGGACAGCCAGTGAGTGAGGATCCTCCGAGGGCACTTCAGCCCCATCAACACGCGCTCATGCCGTCTGAATGGACACAGGTTTACCAGGCAGCATAGAAACGCAGCACTCGCTGCCCTCACCGTGCCGCACCACAGAACGGACAGCTCGCCCCACGAGGGGTGAGCGGTAACACTGACAGGTGGGAAAAACGTTCGCGCGTCGACTACAAAGTGTTTAAGAGCAATAAACGCCCGGTCGCCTCCAGCCCCACTCGGGCTCCCTTTGTCTGCAGAACGTTTCCCGGCGCTGCCGGCTTCGATGGTGCGCGGGGGCTCGGGGCGGCAGCCCCGCACTCACAAAATTGGCGGCGTCCATGATGCCGTCCTCCACGGGGTGGGTGCAATCCAGGGTGAACTTCAACACCTGCTTCTTTTTTTTGCCACCTTTCGCTGCGGGCTTCTTCTGCGAGGGAGGGAGTGGAAAGAGAGAGCTGTGAGGGATTGGCGCCGAGCAGCGGGCCCGGCGGCAGCCAGGGGGGCCGGTGCGAGCTCCGCGCTGGAGGCCGGGGGGAGCGGAGAGGGTGCGGGGAGGGAGCGGGAGCCGATCCGGCGGCAGCGGGGGGCGGGAAGGGCCCAGCCGGCCGCACGCCCGGCGCTGGGCGGGCCGGCCCCGAAGGAGGCCCAGGCGGGGGCCCGGGCGGCACCAGGGCAGGCGGGAGGGTGACGGCGGGGGCAGCGTGGCCTGGCCGCCGGCGGAGACTCACCACGGGCGCCATGGCGGCTGCAGCCCCGGGGCAGAAAGGGAGCGCGGCGCAGCGCGCATGCGCGGAGAGCACGCTCCGGCCGCCGCGGCGCAGGCGCGGGCCGCCGCGCCTCCACGCGCCCACGCCGCCGCCGCCGGGCCGCGCGCCGCGCACCAGGCCTCCCCAGCCGACGGCGGAGAGCGTCGATGGCTTCCGGGCCCCCTCTCACGCAACGCCTCGCAGTTGTTCCGCCAGCGCCTAGTGCTGCCTGGATGGGGCGGTGGGCAGCGCGGGGGCGGGGCTGAGGGCGTCGGGGGCGGAGCTTCGCTTGGAGGGTGGGGTCAGTGATAAGGGGCGTGGCCTCCGCGGCCCCGGAGGAGGGGGGCAGCAGGGATCGGGGTGGGCGAGGGGGCACCCCGGGGTGCGCATGTCCCTGCACCCCCACCCGAGCACCCCTCGGTGCCCCCCTGCACCCCTCTGTGCTCCCCTGACCTTCAGGGTGCCCCTTGCACCCTGAGGTGCCCCCTGCCCCCATATGCCCCTGCACCCCCCGCCGGAGCACCCCTGGGGTGCCCCCCTGCACCCCTCTGTGCCCCCCTGACCCTCAGGGTGCCCCCTTGCACCCCTCGGTGTCCCCCCAGGGTGCCCCCCTGTCCCCATATATCCCTGCACCCCCTGCCAAGCACCCCAGGGTGTCTCCCTGCACCCTTCAGTGCCCCCCAGGGTGGTCCCCTGACCTTCGGGGTGCCTCTTGCACCCCGAGGTGCCCCCCAAGGTGTCTCCCTGCCCCCATATGTCCCTGCACCCCCTGCCCGAGCACCCCTCCATATCCCCCTGCCCTCCAGGGTGCCCCCTGCACCCCTCAGTGCCCCCGGGGGTGCACCCTCACTTCCCGGGGCCATCACCAGGCCCCACGGTCTCCCGTGCCCTGGGTGCACCCCAAGGCCATATAGCCCCGTGTCCCCGCAGCCCCTGCACCCCAAGACCCCTCCCTGGGCACCACAGGGCTATTTTTGGGCTGTGGCGTGGCCACCATCCAGCAGTGCCGGGAGGGGGGGGGGCGGGCCCATGTCACGGGGGCAGCCAGGCCTCGGCAGCGCTCTCATTCCAGCCGGCGCTCAGGGAGCAGCGGCAAGGCACCCCAGCTTAGGGACGGGGAGAGGTAAAGCCTCCTCCCGGGGACGGGGGCTCCCCGGGGTGCCCACGGAGGGGACGCCCTGTTGCGAGGGACGCTCATTCCCGGGGGGACACCCAGTCCTGGGGGATGCCCCCACCCCTGTTGTCCTGGGGGGATGCTCCTTGGCAGGGGACACCCCACCCCAGGGGACACCCACCCCACCCAGCCCGCGGTGTCAGGGGTAAGGGGTGCTTTGGGGGCAGCCTCATGCTGCACGGCTCATAACCTAAAAATAGGCTGCAGCTCGCAGGCCCCAGGGGACAGGATTCATCCTCCCCGCAGTGGGTACGGTGCCTGCGCAAAGCGGTGCCCCCTGGGCGCAGGGGGGGAAGCGGGGTGCAGGGAAGGGGGGGGGGGCCCCGCTCTCTGTCCCACAGATGGCCGGCGGCATTTTCTCACCGCTGGGGAGCTGCTCGGAGCTGGAGAAGGCCAACTGTCACCCGCTGGTCTGCCTGCTCTGCCATGAGCCCTACCAGCACCCCTGCCTGCTCGACTGCTACCACAACTTCTGCGCCAGCTGCCTGCGGGGTCGCGCCAGCGATGGCCGCCTACGCTGCCCGCTCTGCGGGTACGGGACAGATCCTGCACAGGGTGGGGGACACCGGCACCGGGGTGCGCAGCACACGGCCGCCAGCCCGGCGCGGTCCCCATCCTTCTAGCTCCATCCTCTCCTCTCCGTCCCATCCCTGTCCCCTCCAGGCACCCCTCGGTGGTGAGGGGGGGCACGGGGTTGCCCCCCGTGGACCGGCTCCTGCAGTTCCTGGTGGACAGCTCGGCTGACAGCGAGGAGGACGTGCAGTGCGCCAACTGCGACCGGCGCTGCGCCAAGGCGGTGAGGGCAGTGGGGCTGGGGGGGGGGGCGGGACAGGCAGGGGACCCCCGCCAGGGCTGTACCCACCACCAGCCACCCACCCCCCCAACACGCCGCACAGGAGCTGGACACCATGTGCTTCTGCAACACCTGCGGGCAGCCCCTCTGCGCCCCGTGCCGTGAGGAGACCCACCGCGCCAAGATGTTCACCCGCCACGAGATCGTCTCCCTCTCCAAACGCACCAAAGACATCCACAAGAAGTGCCGTGAGTGCTCCGCCATGCCGTGCCACACCATGCTGCACTGTGCCATGCCACGCCGTGCTGCGCTGTGCCACACCATGCCACGCCGTGCTGCACCGTGCCATGTCACGCCATGCTGCACCGTGCCACACCATGACATGCTGTGCTGCACTGTGCCATGTCATGCCACGCCGTGCTGCACCGTGCCATGCCACTCTGTGCCATGCTCCACCATGCCATGCCACGCCACGCTGCACCATACCACACCATTCCATGCCATGATGTGTCACTCTGTGCCACGCCATGCCATGCTGCGCCATGCCGTGCTGCACCATGCCATGCTACGCCATGCTACACCATGCCATGCTGCACCACGCCATGCCGTACCACGTCATGCCATTCCATGCCATGCCGCGCCATGCTGCCTGACTCTCCCATTCCTTGCAGCACTGCACGAGGAGCCCTACATCATGTTCTCCACCGAGAAGAAGTCCATGCTCTGCATCAACTGCTTCAGGGACATGCAGGGGTGAGCATCCCTGGCCCCGCACCCCCCACCCTGTACCCCAGCCCGTGCCCTGATGCCCGTGCCCACAGGGAGAGCCGGGCGCACTGCATCGACATCGAGACGGCGTACATGCAGGGCTGCCAGCGGCTGGACCAGGCGGTGATGGTGGGCAGGACCGTGGGGTCTGGGGAGGTGGGGGGGGGAAGGCGTGGGGGTGCGGTGCTGGCCGCAGCCGCCCCACTGCCCCCGGGCAGGCTGTGAAGGAGCTGCAGACCTCCACGCGCGAGGCCATCGTCCTCCTCAAGGCCATGATCGAGGAGGTGCGCAACAGCGCCAGCGAGGAGGAGGCAGCCATCAACTCCCTCTTCGGCCGCATGCAGGTGTGGGGCGAGCACCCACGCACTGTGCCCCGCGCCCACGTGTGCCCGACACACAGCACGGCAGAGCCGGGGCAGCGGGAGGGGACCGGGGCGGCTGCGGGACATAGGGCTGCCATGCTGTTTGCAGGAGCAGCTCTCTGAGAGGAAGAAAACACTCCTGAAAGCTGTGCAGAGGTGAGGGGCCGCAGGATGAGCCCCCTCCCAGGCTGTGTTGGGGTGCCCCACAAAGCCTGTGCCATGCTCCACTCTGCTGCAGCCAGCACGAGGAGAAGGAGAAGGCGTTCAAGGAGCAGCTTGCCCACCTCGCTTCCCTGTTGCCTACCCTGCAGGTAGGACCTGGGGCTGGGCAGGGTCAGGCTGCCCCAGCCCCGAGGAGTGCTGGCAGTGACACCCCCACTCCTCTAGGTCCACCTGGTAACCTGCTCGGCCTTCCTGAGCTCCGCCAACAAAGCCGAGTTCCTGGACCTGGGCTATGTGAGTGGTGCCAGCGCTGTGGGGCGGCTGGAGCATCCTGCCGTGGTGCCAGGCTCACGGGCTGGGTGCTGAGCACCCCTCAGCACTCCTCGCTGCTGCCTTCCAGCAACTGATGGAGAGGCTGCAGAGGATCGTCAAGCTGCCACACCGCCTGCGACCGGCCCAGACCAGCAAGGTAGAGCTGTGCTACCCGCCTGGGGCCCAGCCCCTGCCCTCAGCACCCCAGGGGCAGCCCCAGCTGCTGGCTCTGCCCTGGCCTCAGCCGCGCTCACCCCCGTCTCGCCCCCCAGATCAACAGCGAGTACCGGGCAGAGTTTGCCCGCTGCCTGGAGCCCCTGCTGATGCTCAGCCCCCGTCGCTCCGTGGTGGGCAGTGCCGGCGGCATTGGTCCTGGCATCACCGGCACAAACATGTGAGGTGCTGGGATCGCAGCCGGGGCGCATCCTGCCGCGCACGCCGCTGTGTCCCGCGCATCCCGCCATGCCAAGCTTGCCCCCGCTGCCGCCCTTGAGCCTGTCACCTCGGGGACAAGTGCGGAGCGCAGCTGCGCTGACATACGACAGGCTCGGGGGCTTCAAGTGACACTTCTGGGAAGTGGGGCTGGCAGCAGGGTGTCTGGGTGAGCCTGCACCCTGCTCCCCAGCCCGGCCCCCCACCGCGGTCCCTGGAGGGCTCTGGGGCCAGCTCCTGCTCGCCCGCACACCCGCGGCGCCGCAGCCTCTTTGCCCGCCACTATTTTTATCAGAATTTCAGGGAAGTGCCCGGCCGTTCCTCGCCTAGGATATATTTAGGCCCGTTGATGTCACGGCAGCACCAGCCCTGCCAGGCACTCCTGGCTGGAGAGGACAAACAGGAGCTGCCGCCCCATGGGGACCGCTCCTCGCCCCCAGCCAGGCTCAGCACCGCGGGGCGGCTGAGCTCCTGGGGGCTGCAGGCCCTGGCACGGGCAGGGGGAACGTGGCACCACACGGTAGGACTGATGGCAGCAGGGCAGCAGAGCCGGGGTGGTGGGATGGGGGGAAACACAGGGGCAGCGGTGCCCACCAAGGGGACAGGAGATACCGGCGGTGAGGGAGTGAGCTGCATCCTGAAACCGGAGCGTGCTGAGCTCAGCGCCTGCCTTCTCCTGCCGCAGCTGGTCCCGAAGCTGTGGGCATGGGGAGAGCAGCCCATGGAAATGTGACTTTTAGGGCGGCGTAAGGTGCCTCGGACTGACTGCGTGTGCCTGGGCGAGGGAAGGGACGCACAGGGCTGGCACGTCCCCAGGCACCCCGGGGGTGAGGGGCCGTGGGTCCCCGGCACCTCGCCTGCAGCGTTGCCGGTCACCCTCTCCGCACAGGCTCCCCGGCGGCCAATGCTCCAAGACGCTGATGGTGCCCAGCAGCCCCCCCGCCGGCGATAAAATGTCCACCGGCCCCATGGTGCGGAAGCCGACGATGCACCGGTACATCAGCACCAAGGTCCTGCTGGCCGAGGGGCGCGAGACCCCCTTCGCCGAGCACTGCCGCAGCTACGAGAACACCTACCGGGTAGGGAGCGCAGGCCGGGCCGGGCCGGGCCGGGCCGGGACCGGGCTGCTCACGGGGCGATGCCCCCCCGGCCCCCGCAGATGCTGCAGCTGGAGATCCAGGGCCTGAAGGACCAGGTGCAGGAGCTGCACCGTGACCTCACCAAGCACCACTCGCTCATCAAGACGGAGATCATGAGCGAGATCCTGCAGAAGTCCCTGCAGATGGATGTGCAGATCGCGGCCCACTACTCCGCCGTGGAGATGATGCGCAGCGTCTTCGAGGAGGTACGGCCGGCGCGTCCCAGCGGAGCAGGTTCCCTCTGTGCCGTGCTGCAGCACGCTGCCCAGCTCCCTCTCCCCCTTCCAGGTCTGGGAGGAGACGTACCAGCGGGTGGCAAACGAGCAGGAGATCTATGAAGGTACTGGCGAACCCCGAACAACCCCCCTGTGCCCATTGTGGGGGGGCAGCCGTGGCCACAGCCCGCTCCTCTCGCCCCCAGCCCAGCTCCACGACCTGCTGCAGCTGCGGCAGGAGAACAGCTGCCTGACCACCATCACCAAGCAGATCGCGCCCTACGTCCGCTCCATCGCCAAGGTGAAGGAGCGTCTGGAGCCCAGGTGAGGGACATGAGGAGCTTTTGAAGCTGGGCTGGGGAGGGGGGATGGGGTGACATGCACATCTGTGGCTCACACCCATCCCGCCACAGGCTGCAGGAGCCCCGGGAGCCCAAGGAGGAACAGGCACGGGTGCTGCTCAAGATCTGCGATGACAGCGAAGCAGCACCAAGGTAGGTGATGGCGAGTGCCCGGTTGCCAAACTCCTCTCGCACCCTTTCCCGGCCGCTGACCCTGCCAAGGTGCCTTCCCTTCCCCAGGGAGGCCTCGCCTGGCAGCAAGGAAGGGGCTCCGGCCAGCCCCGGGGAGGGCTGCGTGCCCAGCAGCACCCCCAGAGACCCCTCCCCGAAAAGCAAAGACTGCTGCAGGGGCCAGCAGAAAAGCGAGGCCGAGAGCACTGCCCAGAAGGAGCTCGCACCGTAGAGCCCGATGCCGAGCAAGCGCACAGACCCGCTTGGTGCTCAGTGCCCAAAAGCCACGTCCCCATTCTCAACCAGCTCCTCTCGCCTTGTGCCACGAGCGAAGGCAAGAAAACAGCCCAGTAACGCGGTGTCTGCAGCGTATGGAGAGCTTGCCTCAGGGCAGCTTTGTTCATCTGAAAAAACAGTTGTCTTTATACTCTCCCTCTCGTGTGTTAGAAGTGAAATAAAAGGGCACAAGTGTACATGTCTGCCTGGTTCTGTGGCTCTGCACAAAGCAGGCGTGCCAGCCCGGGGCATCCAGCTGCTCTTAAAACCACAAAGTTTGTAAACATGGTGAAAAATAAAAATAAAACAAAGCAGACAAAAAAGACTCCACAAAAAAACAAAGCAAACAAAACAAACCAACAAAAATCCCCCAGATGTACAGCCAGGAGCTCACCACAGGGTCTCAGAGCATCCTGCGAACTGCCAGCAGGCAGCAGAGCAAAAACACAGGCAGGGCACTAGAGACGCCCTGCCCCTTGCGCATCCGTGCGATTTAAAAGCTTACCAAGTGCTGCGGCGCAGGAGGGCAGGGCTGCACGGCATCCTCCGGCTTCTCGCTAAAGATTCAGACGCCTTCCCCAGGCCTGGGGAGCTCCTGTCCCCTCACCAAGCTGGCAGTCATGGGATTCAGTCTCAAAAGCACCAAAAGGGCTCTGAAGGTTTTGCTCAAAGTGAAGTTTATCCCTTTTTTTTGGTGCCAACGCATCCCACCTTGGGCAGACCTGCCACTGCACAGATGGAAGCGGGGTCAGAGCTAGCGCTGGCACGCTCCCGCTGATTAGGACTGAGGAGCATTTACTGCAAAGAACAACCCGAGAATAAGGTTTAGTTTCGATTGTCAGTTCATGTCCAACCCAAGCGACAATTGCTGTTTCAAAGTACACTTGTGCAACTTCACAGCAGAAATGTCAACGCCTACAAAAACGTTAGTTAAAAATCAACTTGTCCAGGGCACATTGGCTATGATGGAAGGTCGCAGGTTCCATGAGGACGTGTGTTGGAGGCACTGAAAAGCTTGAGCAGGGGCCTATGAGCAGCTACGCAGAGAAACCAGTGCTATCCAGCTGATGCATTTCCATGTTTGCTCTTTTCTCCCAAGCTAAAACCACGCTTGGTAAGAGACAAATATTACCAGTGAGGGCGTTAAGCTGATGCCCTGTGCAGAACGGGCTCTGCAACACAAAGCAGTCCCGGTGGAGAAAGGACTCTGCATGGATTAAGGGAGGTGACAGAGAATTCGCCCCGACCCTGCAGCTGCGTGGCCTCGCGAGCTGCTGCGAGTCACAGTCGTGCTTCAACACAACACCAGAGTGTTCTGAAAAGCCGCTGGGAATTATAAAAGTAAGGATTCCGGTTTCCATGATGTCACCGGCACGCCAAGAGGTCTCCAAATAACCATCAGACAGAAGTTGGCAAGATTTTTTCTTGTTTTTTATATTAAAAAAAAAAAAAATCAAAGCAATTTCCATCAGTGCCCCCTTTCCTGAGCCACACCACAGCAGCTTCACCAAGGAACACCGCAAGCCCCAAGCGTGAACTGACAACCAACTTGTTTCCATTCCAGCTAGGAAGAATAACTCAAAACTCAAGAAAACAGCGAACCTCTTTGGTATATAACGACAGAATAAGTTATACCACAAAGCTCGAGTAGGAACCATTCCCAAAATGATAACTTTTAAAATAGCGTTAGCTAGCCGAACTTTTTTCCTGTTTGGAGAATTTCCGTAGAAGCATATCCTAGCTGCACTGACATCCCTGCTTTCGCCCAAAAAAGCCGGCAAGGATCTCGAGTGCTAAAGCCCTCAGCAAGCCCAGCAGCTGCGTTTTTTTCCCCAACCCAAAATCCTGGGATCTCTGCAGGACGGAGGCGGCCTGGGAGGATAGGAAGCAGCGCGATTTGGAAGCAGGAAGAGGGAACAGAGGTGGTGGTGGGGAGGCCCGGGAAGGCAGCGGCCGGAGCGGTGACTCCAGAATTTGCGGCAGCGGCCGAGGGAGGAGGGAACAGACTCGCTCTCCTGCTGCTTTTCGGAGGCGATCGCAATCCAGCGGCATGAGGCAAGCGGAAAAAAACCCTCCCTGTGAGCATTAGCGCCCGGGGAGAACCGACGGGCGCCGCGCTGCCAGCTCTGCGGCACGCTGAGGGCCGTAGCCCCTGCACCTGAAGAGAGGAGAGCCAGGGCTCCTGCGAGCCACCCCAGCGCCAGCTTGCAGAATCGGGCCTAAAGAGATTAAAGCCGCGCTGCCTGGCTCGCAAGGTCAAAAAGCTTTAAAATCTAATTATGCCACAGGAACAACCTGCTGACCGGCGCCTTTCCTGCACGGGGCGGGAGGGCAGAGCTGTTCTCCGGAAGAATTGGCCCGGAGGCGTTTCAGTACAATTCAGCTGCTGCAGGCAGGAGGGGTCGATTCTCTTTAGGGTCGCTACAGCCTAAGTTGTCTGGAAGATCCCTGAATGTGCAACAATGAACTTATCTCGAGGAGGACGAACTAGCTTCTGATCTGCTAGTGACCCGGGAGGCTGCCCAGCTCTGCAGCCCTTCGCCCAGCTCCTCCTGGGTGGCCGGGAAAGACTATCGGGTTACTCCCGATGCCACGCATCGTCCCTCGCCCCACGGCGCCTGGAGCCGGGCGTTCGCTCAGCCAGTCTGGTTTTCGCCCGTATTACAGTTCCACTTTGACTCCTTTAATAAAAGGGAGACCCGACGGCACCTTCCTTTTATACTCCAGGTACTCTTCTCCAAAGAAGTGGATGAGTGTGATCTCCTCCTCCTCGACCCGCTCCCTGAAGAAGCGCCACGACACCAGCGCGTAGCCCACCATGCAGATGGGATTGCAGAGCAACACCTGCGAACAGACATGGGCCGTTAGCGTGCCCCTGCCTCCCAAAGAAACCAAAGCTACCTCCCTGCCCCCACAAGATAATCACCCTTCATTGTTTGCCACGAGGTCTGAGCACTCTCCAAAGAAAATAAAAGATCCCAGCGCTTTCTATGGAATATCATTCCAGGGAGAAATCGGTGCTTATGAAGAAAGCAGCTCACGGGCAGCTGCTGGCTAAGAGAGGTGCCCCAGCTCTGGAGAGTGACCACGCTGCTCCCTGTACAGTCTTTATGGTCTCTCTCCAGAGAAATAAAATCAAATGCCAACCACGAGAACAGCATGACTAAGGCAGTGCTGAGCTCCAGCTCCACCGCAGCTGGCCGGGGCCCTGGGCACTCTTAGAGGGAGTTTTCTTTGCCATCCAGCACAGGACTGGTATTTGGCAGCAGTGAGGTTGAGTCTGACCGCTTACAGAAGGCATCTAGCCACAGGGATGCATGGAAACTCTGGACACCAGATTTAGGCTAGCAGCAGATTGCATCCCGAGCCTCCCAGGGCGTTCCGGGTCAAACCCCAGCCCTGCCACCCCTGCTTATTCCACACATAAAATTAAGGTGATGGGTTCTTCCCAGAGATCACGCGGGGCAGAGCACTCGGGGTTTCCTGGCCCCCCGCATGCTGGTGGGAGGCGGGAAGGTGTCAAAATCTGCATCCTGGTCACCCCTGCCGCTGACCGCCAGCGGTCTGCATCCCGTTACAGTGGGCAGCGTTAAGAAGAAAGACCCAGGTTATAAGTCGAAAGTATCTGAGCACGTTGTATACAGTACCTGTGTTCCAATACTCCAGTAAAACCATCCCACGTAAGACGGGTGCCGGAACCACCCATACACCCCACTTGTCACCAAAGTATGAGTATCCGATTTCTCGTTCTGAACAATATGGTTGAAGTTGGAGCCAGCTGTGAGCATGGCCGCTTTCCTCAGACAATCCCCAAAGATCACCATCAACAACCCTACAGTACTCAGCCAGGTGATCTGCTTCAGCTCTGCAAGTGAATAAGGACGGGTCACAAGAGGTTGACACAGGTCACGCTCGCGGTGCGGGGTCACGGGGGGCTGGGTAGGCGGGTGGGCTTTCCCCCTCCCCTCTCAAAACACAACAATGCAAAAAACACAGCCAGCGCTCTGTGTGCTGCCATTCTGCCACCAAAGTAAATAAAAATAGTGTCCCCTGCCAGGGAGGCAGCCCCTACACGGGGTCTGTACATCCTGGTTGCACATCTCCCTAAGCGGAACCCGGCATCCAGGCAGAGCTCGGCTTTACAGCATAAAGCCAACATAAAGCACAGCCATGCAGACGTGGGGAGCTCAGCAGCCCATACTGCCATTATGGAGTGGGGAAGGAGAACATCTCCCGTCACCCAAAAAAAAATGGAAGCACCCCAGATTGGGCGAACAGCAACAGGTTCTGCTGGTTTGATTTTATTCCAGGTGAAAAGAAGACGCCCAGCTGTAACTGCAGCGTCGTTCTTTGTACCACCAAAGCAGCTTGAAAGATGCAGGCAATAAAAAAAAAAAAAAGAGGGCTGAAGACCTGCTGCATGGCAAAGGTCAGAGCCTGGCGTGTCAGAGCGAGGGGGGTGCTCCCTCTGCCCCCCGAGGCTGAAACCGCAGGGCTTTGAGCACAGAGAGCCTAACGCCAGGTCAAAGCCCTCCTGCAGGTCAGCAAAGCGGGGGTGGCCAGCGCTTTGCTACCAGCTGGCCAGGCACCGGGTGAGCCAGGGGCCGCAGGCGGGAGGGCGGGCGGCAGGGAGGGGATGGTGGCCGACCTGGGAAGAGGAGCTTCTCCAACGTGAACTCCACCCAGGAGGAGAAGGCAGCCAGGTTGTACTCGAAGCTGTGGTTGAGCAGGAAGGAGTCCAGCGAGAGGCTGCGCGGGTTGTTGATGGCCGTCACCAGATACTCCGAGTAGTGGAAGAGGGAGAGGGAGCAGACGTACCTGCGGGGAAGGGAACGCTTGGCATGGCCGGCGCCCGCTGCACCCCCCCAGCCCCTGGCCCTGCCCTCCCCTCACCATCCAAAGTGGCGCCAGGCGGAGCGGCCGGCGCTGAGCAGCAGCCCACACCCGAAGGCGAAGCCCAGGAAGCAGGCGCGGACGGCGATCTGCGGGCAGGGAGAGGGAAGACAGCACTGCCACCACCGGCCCCTGTCCGCCCCCTCCGGGCCCAGTGACCCCCCAAGACCTTCCTCCGTCCCGGTGACCCCCCAAGACCTTACCCTGATCCCTGTCCCACCCCGCCCCCGACGCTTCCCTCGGGCCCTCCCAAGACCTTCCTCCAGTCCCCGTCCCCACCCGAGACCTTCCCCCAGGTCCCATG